ACTCAAGCAGATACGTACACTCGTGATATGATTCGACACCGTCACGCCGTCGGTGACCTCACGCCGAGGTGTCTGCACGACACAGTACATGTTCTCCTTTCAACAGGAAACTACCATTCTCTATTCCGCCAACCAACTAGACCCAGCGCGCGCCTTTTAGCATCTCAGTTGCCCAGCCGCTTTATAAATTGACCAATATTAATTTTACGTATGTATTTACAATACCTATCTATTGCCCACGCTACAACTCCGATTTATAGGAGCATGTGTGAACCGAGGACAGTATGATTAATCCTGATATACAATATCGGGTAAACATCGAATCGTTATTTAGCCACTCGATCATCCCGAGGGGCCTAGTATTAATTTCCCGTAAAGAATTAACCGTATGGCAAACAAACAACCATGTTTAGTATGTACGTCGCCTACGGGTTGGAACTTTTTTTTATCGCAACAAATATATGCATAGATATGTTGCTGCGAAAAAAATTAAGATCTGACTAGGAGAATTTGTTTGGGTGTCAATGACCGCGTTCAAGAGAACGTTTTTGTAACTTATTTTGGAAGTTTCTTTGCTGAGATAGTTTTTGCCTCAACGAAAAGAGGCTTCAAAGTAGTAGAACGCAATTATTATTAACATTACAGCAGTAATAAATATAAAAATGGAACTTTTAATCAATTATAGTCAAATACCAAACAATTTGTAATGTTTCAGATAAATATTATTCAGATAAATATTTACAGCTTTATTCAATCATAATATATGTTTGTATGATGGCGTGCAGAAATTGCGCGTCTATTTCTGAGACACGGGCGCATTTCCCATCATTGATGCAAGAGTATGGTACTGGTGGTACCGGTTTGCGGATCTCAGTCTCTTTATTCAGAGTAACTCTTAACCCTCCTCCTTTCCTCCTTCTCTTTACCTTCCTTTTCGCAATCGCGGGGGCACGATAAGTAATAAAAGCGAGAACAAAGTTGCTGCAAATGTGCTATAAATCAATATTGAAATAATTGTCAAAAAGTGCCGTTAATAAAATAATTCATAAAAGATAGATATGGTCTGCACATTTATTCTGAATATTGAATCTGGACTCTGAATATTGAATCTGATTTAACGGAATGATCATTTGATTTTTATCGTATTTTTTTTCTTCAAAATGCAGTTATTAATTGTTATATGATTCTATATTAACAATTTGTTATGTATTAAAATTTGACGTTTTAAGTTTAAAAGTGTGGACGTCAGAGTCAGGCGAAAATAATGTGTCACCATATATCGTAAAGTAGCTACGTATACACCCACGCTACAGGTTTCTCTTGCCACCCTTCTCTCCTGTCACCTACACTATACCCCACCCTTGCTCTACAGCTTCGTTTCTCCTGTGGCGAGGAACGCGACATGATCAGTAGTGGCTTCATACATTCTGTCTGCATGATGGGTCCATGTATAAAAATAGAATCATTCTTATAATCGAAGAAGTTGAACGATAGGAAATTCGAATATGAAGAATAGCTACCCCCGGGTAGTACCTATTGGTTCATATACGTTTTATATACGTTTTTTTCTGAAAAAATATATCTAATACATATATCTAATATATGTTCCACAAACGTTTAAAAAAGTATATAAGACCAACATACGCTACTGGAGACCTTTTATGTTGTGAAAAAGTATGTCTGCAAAAATTAACGTGCACAAATTACTAAGATTTTCTCGTCGAAATAATAATTGTATCTGTTTCGATAGTATAATTTATTTATATTATATATATTTGAACATACAAGATTTATAAGTATAAAATCTGATATGTATACCGCAGAAATCGTTAATTATACGTTTAGTAACTTGTTCTTTAATCACATCACATTTCATGGATTAAACTGTGAATTAAAAAGATTCTTATAAATAAAAAGTAGTAAGATGATATAATTGTGAGGTTTCTAAATAATCACACGGTGGTATGCTTAATCTTTATATGTACATTCTATTTACGGATCCACGTATAAAAATCGAATTATTTTTGTAACTGAAGAAATCGACCTGCAAAAATATGAAAAATAGTTCACTTTTATCAGGATTGTGGGGAAATGTGTCTACAAAAATTAACATGGACAAATTTTAAAGATATTTTTATCGAAATAATATATTAGGTGTTGGAATTAATTCGTAGCGTTTTTAATGAAAGAATGTTATTTATTTCACATGAGCATTAAAAAATACATTAATGAAAGTACTTCCCATCACTTGTAAAACGCTACGAATTAATTCCAACACCTAATATATTTATATCTATCTGACACTAAATTATTTATTAAACTCCTATATGTATATATATATATATATATATATATATAGCGTAGAAATTGTTACATGTTTGATGGCTTATCCTTTAATTACGTTATTCGGGAATTGAATTAAAGAGATTCTCAAAAATGAAATAATAAAATGAAAAGAACCCTGGACAATTATACGGCGGTCCACTTAATCTTAACCATTCTGCCAGGCAAACTGTCACTTGGTTCGTGGCAAGGACGACAGCGACCTTCCTGGAGTCGCAAAAATTCGATGGCGCGCTGCAACACGAAACACGATGCGCCGTAATGCAATGGCAAAAGTCCGGCAATAAAATCAACTCGGGAGATCCGGACATTTTTATATTCGCTCTTTAAATTCGCGCAGGTTTTACACCGTCATGTCCCGTATAAGAAACCTCGTGTTCAACGCGAAGAAAAATGTAATTCTTTTCTCTTTTGTTACTTTTTCGCACGGCTATCGCGCCACGATATCGCGTAATAACACCAATAAAATGCGAGTCGCGAGAAACATGTACTTTGTCGGTTGAGTGCATTGATTACTAATCGAAATTATAGCATGTTCGTGAAATCATTTCCGTTAATTTGCTCCGACGCGAATTAAAATAATACCCGGCACGTCGTCTTTAAGTTTTCCAAAACACGTCTGTACTCCCTATCTCGATTCGTAAACGTCAAGATTATAGGAGGATCCATGGGCGTCGTCAGGACGTCTTCTAAGAATGCTTTAAACTTCCTTATTATTTATTTTCAAACAGTTTGGTGTTATAACATATTGCTTTATTATAATATATTTATTGTAACAAAATATGATTTTTTAAATATGTATTTTATGTTCTCTTGTATATTTATGTAGTTTACTGTTTTATAATAAATACGTACCACAAAATTCATATCACTTCATTCACTTATTATTTATTTTTAAAAAGATTAATGAAAAGAGTGATAAAATCTTTTTCGAAAATATTATTTATAAACAAATTCTCTCACTGAAAATGTAAAGCAATGCCTGTGCATCTTTTTCGCACGTCTCTCTTGCGACGCCCATGGCACCCTGTGCGTCCTTTCTCCTGTGCATGTCGTCGGGCAATCGCGTAATAAGAAATAAATTAAACATTTATGTCCGCGCGCACTGGCGGTGGCCACTATCTCCTGGACGTGGATTCCCAGCACGTGAGAAGCACGCACGCCTAATTGCTGTTGGGATGGTATCACCAAATACTTGAAACACTCATAGTGTTGAACGACTCATTACAATCGCTCTCTCGTTTCCCGCGTCCGAGGAATGTCCTTCCGCGCGAATCTCCGAATTTTTTTCAATTTTCGTTGTTGATATGTTAAAAATCGATTTTCCTCATCCGTTTTCCAACGAACGATCAGCTTCTAGAACGTCACGAACGTTAATATTTTCGCAATCGAGATTGTGCGTCATTGCGCGAAACTTATCGCTCAAGTTCGCACGATCGAAGTCACGTAGCCTCCACGATGATCACTATAATCACAATGTATGAATGTAGATTGTGTTCCTGCGTATACAAGTATTTCAAGTGTGGATATTAATGGCGAAGAAAAATGGTTAAAATTGCTTCAAGGTTCGCATAAATAGTCACGAAATTCCTGAACTCTGACGAGGACTGTACGAATGTAAACAGTTAATAAAGCGTTTTTTTTTCCACGGTGATTATTACCTGAATTTTCGCGCTTCGTGTAAATATCGATACCTGTTTTGTTGCGAGATTCTTACCTACAGATAACGTCGCGCGACGATTCCGCTTTCCTTCCGTCGATCATCACATCGATACAATGGCTCGCCATTGTTTGCAAATGCAAGTCCCGGACGCGTAATGGTTCCGGCATTATTAGACGTATAACTTTTATTTTATTATGTTTGAACGATAATCTCGCTTACCGTGTGCGTATCTTCCCGAAGCGAGAATCCCGATAAACCGTTCACATAAATATTATATTCGTGACGTTGGCTCCTTATATTATACCTGCGCGACTCAAGGTCGTGTTTACAAAGAACTCGAGCATGCACAGGTATCTTATTACATTCGCAATAGCCACATATCTTATTGTATAGATAGATATAGAACTACAGTGAACAGTGAGAGGAAATCGATTAAGAACGCGATCGATAAGCTAGCGACTAAAAATCAGAATTGACGATAATTACTCGCGTCTTCTGGGCATGTAATTTATGATTGAAACTGAAAGTTACGGAACGAGTGACTGTTATAATGATACATAAATAAGCGAAAACCTAGAATGCGCTATGATTAGTTTAGTTAGATTGAGACCTGGAAGATTCATTTGTCATTTTTCGCGCATATAAAATGCATTTATATAGAATATAATAATTAAATTTTTATCAAAGTCTTCGTTTTAACTCTCCGAAGCTTATCTCAAGCTGTGTAATACAGTTACTGATGCTGAGTCTATTAAACACATTTAATTTATGTTAATTAAAAGATATCTCGGTAATTTAGTATAAATAAAATCTTTTTTTAGAAATTTAAATATCCTATTTAAATATGCAGTTCATTATTAATCTTTAGTCCTTACAGAATTAACATTATACAATACGTTGAGAAACAAAAAATGGAAATTAATGTTTTTAATTTTATTATGAAATAAACGATCTTCTAATTAAAATTGCAATATTGAACTGCGTGATTTTTCAGGTACTGCTTCAGGCGGCACTAATCTGGGAAGAAACTCATGGCGCTCCAGCGAAGAAGAGCGACATAGTTGCCGGTTCGGAATTCCTTTCAGTCTTCATAAACGGCGCTATGGCGACACCACCGCAACGACGCCGAGGTTTCCGACCGCGTGGTGGTCAAAACGCGGCTGCGACAGCGAGTGACAGCGCGACCGCCGAATCGCACCAACACGAGGCCTCGATCTATCGAATATCTCGGAACCCAAGCGGTGGTCGACCGATTTCAGTGTCAAGGCCACAGACGAGCGGTCGCGAGGAAATCGTTCGTTTCTACCCTATAAATCAAAAAACGTTGGAAAACCGGCAGCAAAATTTAGCGTCGTTGATCGACGATCTGAGCACGCCGGGCGATATAAGCTCGACGCATCTAACACCTTCGAACGCGGTAACAACGACGATGACGAGCGTACCAACGTCGAACTATCAAGATCGAACAATCTCAAGGTCAAACGGGACCAATGGAACTATCGGCAGAGGTATTAGCCGGCAGAAGGTGATCGGTGTCAGCGTCACATCCACGGTTGAGGCCACGCCGTACAAAGTACGTGTTGAACATTACGACAGCGCTGACGCTGTGGTAGTTACGCGACCACCAAGTTTGGACTCTACCGTGAATAGAGAAGTTCCTAAAGAATCAACCAGGGAATCAATTAGAAGTTCGACGAGTACCAGCAGACCGTCGACGTCACTATCATCCACGATGACAACAACAACGACTACAACTACGACGACTACGATGACGCCACCACCGCCGGGTCGATTCATTACCGAAGAGCTTAGCAACATCGTTTCGGAATCAAACAGAAGCGAATTCTCCGTTGATGAGGACTCACCGAGAACGAGTTGGCGCGGTCGCGTAACCATGACACCACGAATTGAGAACAATCATCAGGACGAAGAAATTAATGAGGCTGGGCGGATTATTGATGTTGATGCGATTACTCTACCGATGGAAGAGAATTACGAGCTACCCGTAGAGAACTCGGAACGACGAGAGTTGAATGAGGAATTGCCAGAGATGTCAACGGATCGGCTTCAAGGACGCAAGATGGGACGTCATTATGACGCGTCGCTCTACAACCGATCGGGCCTAAAGATGTACAGCCAGTCGTCGAAAGCGTACAAACCTTCACGAACTTACAACGAGCCGCCCAAGGTATATAGCGAGCCGGCCAAAGTGTATGGTGAACCCGAGCGTATGTATGGAGAACCAGCTAAAGTGTACAGCGAGCCTGCTAAAATCTATAGCGAACCAGCCAAGGTCTATAGCGAACCTGCGAAAGTTTATAGCGAGCCGGCCAAAGTCTATGGCGAGCCGGAAAAAATCTACTCCGAACCATCCAAAATCTATTCGGAACCAGCTAAAGTCTACTCCGAGCCGGCCAAAATCTACTCGCAGCCGGCTAAAATATATGGCGAGCCCAGTAAGGTGTACGACTCCGAGGGCCAACCAGTGGATCGTCAGGAAAGCGTTGAGCCCCACGAGCAGAATTACGAAATCGATGAGTCGGTCAGCGTCGGCAGCAACGGCAATGTTCACGGGCCGCAATTGGTTGTCACGGAGGAAACCCCAGGTGCAACGGAAGATGGTCACAAGGTCGGTTACGTAGTGGAGGGCAGAAATTATAGGAAGTACAGGGTTGAGGAGAGAACGCCGGACGGCTTTATCGTAGGCGAGTATGGCGTCGTCAGTCACGACGATGGTTCGCTGCGTGGTGTCAGATATACCGCTGATGGTACCATCAATCCCCAACTCATCTACGACGCCCTGATGAAGTTCCTCGCATTGTGAACGCCGTGATAACGGAAAAAAGTGAAAGGAAGAAAGACGAATCGACGAAATCGTTGCGAGATACCAAGGGAGATCACGCAACGTTGCTGAACTCATTTCTTCACCTATAATTCATGCTATGTTTGAAAAATCAAAAATAATTCGATCTGCCACAACCCACGCGATATTTTTACTACAGTTGTCTGTTAGACAATGATCTGGTCTAGGCCATTCAATGTCAGCTAATGATGGGTTATGAAAACTATTATTGTTTCCTTCTTCAGAAAGACTTGATTCCGCAGCGACGGCGAGTCGGCGAATTGCGGATTTCTTTGAGGTGACTTCGGCAACGTCGTCGAGACAAACACGACTGATACTTTTGCTCTTGCCAACTCAACTGCCTCAACAAATAATTTTAAGGACGACGATTTAGGATCTAAGGAAGAACTCGACCAAGACAACCTGCGCGCGCCATCGACCCGAGAACCGAAAGGTCGACCGGGACCGACGCACGAAAAAGTCAAATCTCGATGCTCAGTCATTGCGAAACGCTGACAGATGAAAGTTACTCTTTGGACGGCGAAAGTACAAACTTTTGTGTGCAGTGCCGCTCGATGGCCTTTGACGATCGTAGTAGCCAATTGAAGTGGTTGTCGAACGTTTTTTTTACCCACTAATAGCTACTCGCAAGCATTTGAAGTGAGAATGCAGCTACTCGCGGGCTACTAAAAATATATTTCAGTGCATAAGAAGCTCGTGTTTGTGTGCATGACACGCATCGACTTGGACGATTTTCAATTTTAATGTAATATTAGTTACGTTCAATAGAAAAAGCAACTTTGCAAAAGCTGTTGTAAAATTCTTTAATATGATTGGTTCTTATTTTTGTTTCCCCACTGAACCTAAATATATAAATTAATTGTATTTAAAAAATTTTACAAAAAACACACACACACACACACACACACACACACATACAACAGAGTTGCAAAGCTGTTGTTTCTGTAAAGGAAGTCATTAACAGTGTCACAAAAAGTTAATAAATTTTTGCATGCTTTTATATAACGTTCGACGTGGAATTTACATTTACCTGAAAATATGATAACAAATTAGAAACCGCCCAGATAACATAAAGTCCAAAATCGGAATATCTAAAAGACGTCTTAAAGACATCTTTGTGAGAAACGTTTTAAAAATATTTTAAAGACATCTTAAATATCGATTTTAGACTTTATGTTGTCTGGACGTCATTTCATGATCATGGCTACAAGATAAAATGAGAATCCTGTGCCTGATGAAACATAAAATTAAAGACATGTCCGATCCCGATGCGATATTACGCACTCGGAGATTGATTAGTTGACACTGACAATGATTCCCACGTGCGCATATTGATACGTGTCTTTGCAACTGAATATCTCGTATAACGAGAATCGTACCCACCTTTGTGCACTCGTTGAGGATGTACCCGCGACAGACCCTCGATCTCTGATCTCTGATCTTTGATCTCCGGTAAAAAAAATCTCGAATCGCATTCGCTGTGAAGGCTCACTGTGAAGGCCCAAATATTTTGACCGCAACAAATACTTTGGCTGAAAGTGTGTTTTAACACGCACGTTCCATAAAAGGACTTGCAATGCAATACAGAAATAATTCGTGATCTTTCCACATGCCGGTAATTTTTCCTTCTACTTTTTAGAATAATAAACATCAGAGATCATCGATCGATCAATACGATGCGATTTCGTGTGACATACGAGAGTAAATCTTTTTTTATATAGTAAAGAAATGTTATCTCTCTCATAGTATCAAGAGATCTGCATTGATCAGAGATTAATTTAATCGCCAAAGGGAATTTAACAGAATTTTTTACTGTTTATTATATCGCAGTTAACACTAGAACAATCGGAATTTTCTCTTATTGCTTTTAACGTCTAAAGCCCGTTCTATAATAGAGTCATAAGCCATAAGAAATTGGCTAATCATAGTTGAATATAAAAAAAATAATCGACTGATGATTGATTAATTTTTTACTTACAGCTTACGATCCTATTGTAAAACAGGCTTAAAAAATATTTATTAATATGTACAGGATGCCTAGCAACGGATGAAATAAAATTTAAGGAGTGATTTTAGATGATAAAATAATTGGTTTGTACTTCGAGACATTAATTAAAAATGTGAAAAATAAAATAAATAGCATTTAAATAAAATATTCTATTATGGGATGTGTCGAGTTTGTTAATGGATAAATCAATCGCATCCGAATGTTCTAACGTTAACAGCCCCCAAAATCATTGACTGAGAGTCCCTTTCGTGCGTTTTTATCGCGGTTATGCTTCTGTGATGAAGAGGTAGATGAAAAAGTTGCAACTGCCAGGGCCTTTGTTCGAGAATGGTCGACGATTCTTTGAAGTAGCTAGCGGGCCCCGCAGCTGCGATGGACAGACCGACTTGTCACGGCAGCGTCTCCGCGCGTATCCTAGTTCTATAAGTTCCCTAGATTTTAAGGCTGACAAAGGAAGTATCTCAATCAACGAGAAAACTCGTTCTTTTCTCCGTAGTATCAATTATATTATTTAACGATTACAATTAGCTGGTTCTCTCATTACCTCAGTCCTTGGAGATAGTTCCTCTTGCCATGCAATATTGAGCACATATCCTTAAGCGCGAGTAAGCGTTTCCTGAAATTCGGAAGAAACATATATGGGGTGTTCCGAAATCGTCTTTGGCTCTTTGATGAACGAGCAATTGCGAGAAAGAAAGTTTCAAGTTTATCGACGAAAGGAAAGAAATATAAATGAAAGCATCAACATTAATTTCCCGGCAGCCTGTATACGGATACATCTTGCGGATACATATATTGCTCACGTTTATAGACTATAAAGGTCTCGATTATATTCTACTTTACTCTTTCGTATGTACATTTCTAAAATATTTAAGTATGTTACAGACGGTATCTCTAAGAACTCTTGTATAAGACATGCATCCTAAATAATGTTTACTATAAAAATATTATATGTAATGCTGTGTGCAAGCCATCGCCATTTTTTAACAGCAACTTTGTAATAAAGACATTGCCATGAAAAATATTCTGATTATTATGACCCGAGCGTTCTTGCGATCGAAAACTTTATTAATTTATCTTGATTTTTGCTTAAAAAACTTAATTTTATTATATGATTATAACAATTAAATTAATTTAATAAAAATTCACAGTTTTACATCCGGATTTTTTAGTATCCATCGATGCAAGGCCTTAGTTAAAGATTGAATCGTAAGTTTGATAGCAAAATGCGATTCTCTGCATCATTTATATGCCATATGAACATTTCTAAGCCGATCTTAATTTCATTATATTGTATTTATTCAACTTTGCTCACGGCGATCGAAGAGAATGAAAATATTCGCGTGCGGCGACATTGACCAGTTATTCATTATCGTGGCGCCAGACAGGAGGTGCTCGTGAGGTACTCGTGTAATTTAGGGAGTAATGAACGTCCTTGAAAGCCAGACAATTTTCTCCACCGTTCATCCGTGTCTTGATAACTCGGCAATCGCTAATAACAATCTATTCCGAATAATGATGCGTCTACGACTGGAATTATAATTAATATATTTCCTTGTTTTCTATTTTCGAAAAATATTCTGGATTTTGTGAAAAGGTTGCTTTCTCTCTCTCAAAATTGTATTTGCAATTAATTATCTATTACTATTTAATTATATATTAAGAGAAACATATGTTTCTATTTTCGTAAATAATTATATTTATTTATGTAAAAGATAAAGATTCTTCTTGTTTCTCTATAATATTATTATATATTAAATGTACAATAGCATTGTTTGAAATTTTCTTGTTAGTATTTTCAAGGCCGAACTTAATAATGATAATAAATTCATCGGACAAAATGTTGAAAAGAAGACATCTCGAAATCGAACTATTCAATGGATTCATATTTGTGAGATATATACAAATTGTATCATGCATGTAGTAGCAATTGCCTTGATAAATAAATCGTAATTTGCCTATAATGATAACAGACACGCGAAATAAAATTTAATGTTTGACCGAAGATTAAATTATAATATTCTTATGTACTTTGACGCTTCGAAATCTAATATCCAAATTGCTTCATCTATAATTTGAACATCGGATTCGGTTTTAGGGCGTCAAAATATATAAGAATATCATTGTTTAATCTCCGGTTTAAAACTTTTTTATGTGTATGTGTAATTTATACGTAAAACAAAATTTTATCGAATATTTCCATTGTTAGAATAATCGATATCCGATCAGTCTGGTATTTCACTTCGAATAATTCTTGAGTTAAGATCGTATATACATAAAATCTTTAATAAATTCAGCTTATATACATATATCTTTTCTCATTATTTTGTTATTATTTTCTGATGTTTGTAAAAAGGAAATGTTTATAGAGAGAAAGTTGCTTAAAATTGCAAAGTACAAAGATAATAACAACGTAAGGTATTTTTAAAATATATATAAATTTTCTGTAGCCTTTTAAATCTTTTATAAAATAATATTTTATTTAAAAATATATTTTAAAAGATTTTTACATGATGTTTTTCTAATAAATCGCTATCTTGATGCTGTTTAAACATATAGATGGAACCAGGTAACCGTCACCTGACACAGGTGGGAGCCGATAAGTTAGGAGAATGTCTTACCGTTACACGGTCGGATTACCGATGCGGTGTGCTCGATTTGAAAGAGGAATGGCGTTCAAAGGAACAATCGCCGGGTTTCGACGGCGAATAAACATGGTCACGCGACTCCGCCACTCGATATAGCGCTGGTTCACGCACGCCGCCTGATCACGCTTCTTATTGTGCAAATAATTGAAACACTAATCCCCTTTGCCCTCGCATTGACAGTCAGGACGTGATCGGACGTGACGCGATAACCCAGCGCTATTTAGGAGTGCGTGCTCGAGGGGGTGTAACCCCGGAACGGGATGAGCGCCGTAAAAATGCAAACGCAAACGCACGACACGCATTTACCCCGCAGGGGTACACGTGACTCTAATACACTTTCGCTTTAAACTATCGCCTATAAGTCTCGCCTATATTTGCTCGCGATAGAAGATATTTTAAATTGCATTGCAGTTGAAACAGTGAAGCTG